GTGCTAACCATTCCTACTTTTGTTTTGGCATTAGCTTCCAGCTAAGCATTATACCCTTCCTTATGGAATTAGACTTTTATTTTATTATTTATTATATATTTATTTATTTTATATATTTTTTATTTATTTTTTTCTATTTTTATTTTTATTTTTATTTTATTTTCTCATGGAATTAGATTGTGCTAAGCATTCTTACTTTCCGTTTTGCATTAGCTTTGAGCTAAGCATTCTTACTTTCTATTCGCCATTAGCTTCGAGCTAAGCATTATTACTTTCCTATTGGCATTAGCTTTGAGCTAAGCATTGTTCCCCTCCTAATGGAATTAGCTTGTGCTAAGCATTCTTATTTTCCTTTTTCATTAGCTTTGAGCTAACCATTCATACTTTCCTTTTAGCATTAGCTTCGAGCTAAGCATTTCCTCTCCTAATGGAATTAGCTTGTACTAAGCATTCTAACTTTTCTTTTGACATTACCTTCGAGCTAAGCATTATTTGTGTCCTTATGCAATTTCCTTGTGCTAAGCATTCTTATTTTCCGTTTGGCATTAGCTTCGAGCTAAGCATTATTCCTCTCCTTATGGAATTAGCTTGTGCTATGGATTCTTACTTTCTTTTTTGCATTAGTTTTGAGCTAAGCATTATTCCTCTCCTTATGCAATTAGCTTTTGCTTAGAATTCTTACTTTCCTATTGGCATTAACTTCCAGCTAAGCATTATTCCTCGCCTTATGAACTTCTATTGTTCTAAGCATTCCTACTTTCGTTTATGCATGAGCTTGGAGCTAAGCATTATACATTTTCTTATGGAATTAGTTTTTTTTTTTTTATTTATATATTTATTTATTTATTTTCAAATTTATTGTATTTTTTTAATTTAAATTTTTATGTTAACTTTTATTTCTATTTTAGTTTTAATTTTAACTTTTAATTTTTTTTTTCTTGTGGAACGAAAATGTGCTAAGCATTCTTACTTTCCGTTAGGCATTAGCTTCGACCTAAACATTCTTAATTTTCTTTTGCATTAGCTTCGATCTAAACATTCTTACTTTGCTTTTGTTATGAACTTCAAGCTAAGCATTCCTACTTTCGTTTTGGCATGAGCTTCGAGTTAAGATTTATACATTTTCTTATGGAATTAGCTTTTTCTTTTATTATTTATTTACATTTTTATTTATTTTATATATTTATATATTTATTTATTTTATTTTATTTTTATTTTTATTTTTATTTTCATTTTTCTTTTATTTTCTTATGGAATTTGATTGTGCTAAGTATTCTTACTTTCCGTTTGGCATTAGCTTGGCTAAGCATTCTCACTTTCCTTTTGCCATTAGCTTCGAGCTAAGCATTATTACTTTCCTATTGGTATTTGTTGAGTATAGATTTTACGCTCAATACGTTTACTTTGCGTGTATTTTTTGTTTAGATTTAATTAAATTTGTGCTTTAATTGATTAATTTTGTGTCTTATAGGTGAAAAACGAGAATTAGGTGTCCATGAAGGAAAAAAGATCAAAAAGAAAGGAAAAAATTGCAAATAAGGAAATAAATCAAATTCGAAGAAGGAATCTCGCTACAGCTTTGGCATTGTCCACCATTTCGAGCATATCTCTCTCATACGAACTCAAAATCAGCTGATTTTGGCGGCATTGGAAAACTAATTTCAAGGGCTACAATTCTTATTCACGCAACATTCCAAAATTCGGACTCCAACATGGCCAATCGAAGAACAAATCCTGATGGGGGAAAGTGGCGAAAATTGATTCCTATTAGGTTATGATTAATTTAACATCTCAGGTTAATAATCCGAGTTAATAACTTGCATAATTGAAGGAATTGGGGAATTAATAATCACATAGGGGGGAGAATAAAATCCTAGGCTTGTTTTCTCTGATTAATCTTCGAGTTAATTGCTTTCGTTGTTTTTATTGTTTTAATTTGCTTTAGTTAATTTAGTTTATTATTCATCTTTCGACTGTGTATGGTGGGCTTGATAATAATTGCTAGGATTTAGCGTCTAGGATTAAGTAGTTAAATATTCTTTGTGGGATCGATATCCGGACTTAATTGTCCACTATAGTACTTGTACGATACGTGCACTTGCGTGTAGGTATTACAACCAACATTATTTGCTTTGAGCTAAACATTGTTCATCTCCTTAAGGAATTAGCTTGTGCAAAGCATTCCTACTTTCCTTTTGGCATTAGGTTCGAGCTAAGCATTATTCCTCTCTTATGGAAATTTGCTAGTGTTATGCATTCTTACTTTCCTTTTGGCATTAGCTTCAACCTAAGCATTATTCCTCTCCAATCATTATTCCTATTCTTGGGGAATTAGCTTTTGCTAAGCATTCTTACTTTCCTTTTGATATTAGCTTTTAGATAAACATTCTACTTTCCTTTTGGTATTAGCTTCGAGCTAAGTATAATTCCGCTCCTTACGGAATTAGCTTGTGCTATGCATCGTTACTTTCCTTTTGGCACTAGTTTCGAGCTATGCATTTTTCTTGTCCTTCTAGAATTTTCTTCTGCAAAGCATTCTTACTTTCCTTTTTGGCATTACCTTTGAGCTAAGCATTCTTAATTTACCTTTGGCATTAGCTTCGAGCTAAGCATTATTCCATTTCTTATGGAATTAGCATGTGCTAAGCATTCTTACTTTCCTTTTAGCATTAGCATCGAGCTAAGCATTATTCATCTTCTTGTGTAATTAGCTTCTGCTAAGCATGCTTACTTTCCTTTTGGCATTAGCGTCGAGCTAAGCATTATTCCTTTTCTTATGGAATTAGCTTATGCTCAGCATTCTAACTTTTCTTTTAGAATTAGCTTTTTGCTAATCATTCATACTTTCCTTTTGCCATTAGCTTAATACTATGCATTATTCCGCTCCTTATGGAATTAGCTTGTGTTAGGCATTCTTACTTTCCTTTTGCGCATTAGCTTCAAGGTAAGAACCATTCCTCTCCTTATGGAATTAGCTTGTGCTAAGCATTCTTAATTTCGTTTTTGCATTAGCTTCGAACTAAGCATTCTTACTTTCCTTTTGGCATTAGCTTCGAGCTAAGCATTATTCATCTTATTATGGAATTAGCTTGTGCTAAACATTCTTACATTCATTTTGGCATTATCTTCGAGATAAGCCTTATTCCACATCTTATGGAATTAGCTTGTGCTAAGCATTCTAACTTTCTTTTTGACATTAGCTTTTAGCTAAGTAATCCTACTTCCGTTTTGGAATTAGCTTAAAGCTAAGTATTATTCCACTCCTTATGGAATTACCTTGTGCTAAGCATTCTTACCTTCGCTTCGAGCTAAGCACTCTTACTCGCCTTTTGCCATTTGCTTTTAGCCATGCATTATTCCTCTCCTTATGGAATTAGCTTGTTCTAAGAGTTCTTACTTTTCTTTTGGCATTAGCTTCGAGCTAAGCATTATTCCTTTCCCTATGGAATTTTCTTTTTCTAAGCATTCTTACTTTCTTTTACGCATTAGCTTCGAGCTAAGCATTGTTCATCTCCTTATGGATTTAGCTTCGCAAGCATTCTTACTTTCGTTTAAGAATGAGTTTTGAGCTAAGCATTATACCTTTTCTTTTGGAATTAGCTTTTTTTTTGTATTATTTATTTATATATTTATTTATTTTATATATTTTTTTAATTTTTTTTAACTTTTTTATTTAAACTTTTATGTTAATTTTAATTTTAATTTTAATTTTAATTTTAATTTTTACTTTTATTTTATTTTTTGTGGAATGAGATTGTGCTAAGTATTCTTACTTTCCGTTTGGCATTAGCCTCAAGCTAAGCATTCTTACTTTCCTTTCGCCATTAACTTCGAGTTAAGCATTATTACTTTCCTATTGGTGTAGTGTGTGTATTTTTTCTAGTGTGTGTTTTCGGTGTAGTGTGTGTATTTTTTAGTGTGTGTTTTCGGTGTAGTGTGAGTGTATTTGTTAGTGTGTATTTTCGGTATATTTTTTTAGTGTGTGTTTTCGGTGTAGTGTGTGTAATTCTTTTTAGTGTGTATTTTCGGTTGTGTATGTATTTTTTAGTGTGTGTTTTTCGGTGTAGTGTGTGTAATTTTTTTAGTGTGTGTTTTCGGTTTACTGTGTGTAAAAAAAATTTTACGATCAAATCACCAAATATTGTATACTATATAGTACACAGATTTTCGTTAAAATTGGTGCAACGTCCAAAAAACTATTGCACAATCAAAATCACCAAAACTTTGAATATTATAGTACATATATTTTAGTTAAAATTGGTAGAACGTCCAAAAACTATTTCACGATCATAATCAGCAAAAACCGTAGTACACAAGTTTTGGGTAAATTTGGTGGAACGTCCAAAAAACTATTTCACGACAAAATCACTAAAGAATATACGTTATAGTACACACATTTTGGGTAAAATTGGAGGAACGTCCAAAAAACTATTTCACAATCAAAATTACCAAAATTTGTATGTTATATAGTCACAAATTTTGAGTAAAATTGGTGGAACGTCCAAGAAACCTTTTCACGATCAAAATCAACAAAAGTTGTATGCTATAGTACACAAATTTTGGGTAAAATTGGTGGAACTTACCAAAGACTTTTTCACGATCAATACTATTAGTACATTGATTTTAGTTAAAATTGGTGCAACGTCCAAAAAATTATTTCTCGATCAAAATCACCAAAAGTTGTATACTATATTGTACACAGGTTTGGGATAAAATTGATGGAATGTCCGGAAAACTATTTCACTATCAAAATCACCAAAGACGGTGTACTATAACTTATAAGTACACAGATTTTGGATAAAATTAGGGGAACGTCAAAAAAAACTATTTCACAATCAAAATTACCAAAAACTGTATGCTATAGTACACAAATTCTTGATAAAATTGGTGGATCGTCCCAAAAAACCTTTTCACGATCAATATCACAAAAAACTGTATATTATATATACAGTACACAGATTTTGGGTAAAATTGGTGGAACATCCAAAAAAAAATTACGATTAAAATCACCAAAAGCTGTATACTATACAGTATACACATTTTGAATAAAATTGGTGAAAAGTCCAAAAAACTTTTTCACGATCAAATACACTAAATTATTGAAATGTGGGGAAAATATCCAAATTCTAATAATAATTTAATAAAACTAGGCGGCCACTGTATTATAAGGAGACTTTGAGAGTCCAAATGGTAGTCAGCCAACAAGCTATACAAATTGATTAGGGCCTAATTGGAATTTCACTGGGAAAAGTATTGCTGGTCTTCATATAATTAAGTGACAGTGGTGTCTTTACTGATCCAGCTTCTTGCCTTTCTTACAACTCCGCCCTGGAATCTTCATCTTTCGTAGGTTCAACATACGATGCATAAGCTTTGATTATTGACTCGTAAATGTGAATCCCCCGCAAGTACTCATTCTTGTTCAGGAACTGCGCAAGCAAACGATTACATAATTTGTTTCAATTCTTTCAATTGAATACCAGTTCAGTTAGGAAAACCATTGACAATTTTGCCACGGGCAGAGCAATGTAATAGAAGAAACATAAATGGATAAATCTAAAATACAATTTTGAGGTTAATTCAACAAATAGTGTGTGCACAGGCCAAAAGGAGATTAGACTATTATCTTTCTGTATTCACGATATCAACATATCTAACACGATCCTTTAACTTCATGCAAAGCCGATAAGAAGAAAATGTTCACCTCGTTGTGGTCATGAAGTAGAATTGGTGTGTTTGCCATAGGAGAAAAGCCAATTGCTGGTAACCCAAGTTCCCTGAAATAGCGAGCATCTGTTGAAGCAGGAAATATCTCAGGTTTTCCAAGTTCACCATTGGCACTTTTTATTGCATCTTCTAAAAGTACCCACCAAGGGTTTGAACTGTCAAAGGCTGTAAGAATTTGCTTCCCAAACTTGTCATATATAGATCCCTTCTGCTTGAACTGTCACAACTCCACAAAATTGTTAGGAACGGTAGCTGATCATCCAAACATAGAAATTTCTTAAAACTGTTAATACCAAATCATAAATACGGAGATGGTCAACCATAAATTTAAAGCAGTTGAACACCAATCTTATACATAATACTTGATCTTTTGATATTTCACTATTTGGCCCTTTCTGCTTAATTGCCTAAAGAATGACTGAACTTACATAGTTGCATCAAATACAAGTGATCAACATGTGAAAGAAGTAATCAAAGTATGGAGGACCTTTTACACAATATAACTCCTTTTTGTCCACACAAAAATTGAATTTAAGGGGAAGAAAATTTAATGATCAAAATCAGAACAATAGTCATTCAAATGTTTAAATAAATTCAAGGACTAAATTTAAAATTTTAGGAATATTTTGTGATTAGGCCAGCCAAAGGCATGGAATGCGAGGAAGTTAACTTGCATACATACTTCAGCAGCTAAAAAAACAATTAACAGAAAAGTATAAATACGGAAATAAATATAGCAACGGTGATACTTTCTGAAAATGCATTATAACATGATTTTGTATATTTTATCACCTCAAAGGTCATATTACGTGTAGCAGGTGCCCATTCCTCTGCAATTCGTCTCTCCAAGGAGACTACATCTGCGGTTGGTGGGACCCGGATATCAAAACCTGCTTGAGCTTCTGATGGTTGCAAATTCATGACAAAACCCTGCCACACATGAAAACTAATTAAAAAGAAGTAATAGATCATTGTTAGTTGACATACTTGTGTTGCTTTATTTTTAAAATATATTAATATATCATCCCATTTATCATACCAAATAATGAAATAAATGGTATGTCTGTATCAAATGCAGAGAACTAAAAGAACTGGCCTACGAGTAAGAAACATATATTGTGATATTTTTCAATTTCAAAATGAGCACAAGGAAAATAAGGAATGAAGAACATTGTGATCGAAAATGGCAAGGTTCTAGTCCTAATTCTGTGGACATGAGAAATGCAACTAGAGATAGATGCATCTAAGACACAATTTATGTATCATAATACATCTTTGGGGGTTGGGTTGGCATCTAAATGAGTACGTAGCTCCTTGCAGAAATGAAAATCGTGTCTCAAGGTTAGCCATGAAATGAACAAAAAGCGATCCATGGATGAAAATGATCATATGTATACTAAAAGCATCGTGCAATAAATGGTTTATGGAGCAGGCAGTTAAAGCATTAGATGGAGAGGGGGGACTCACAGTAGGAGAAGGAGTTCCAGCTTTCAAGAAGACCATATTAACAGAAATGACCTCTCCTTCAGCCTTGTGTCCAGCCTTGACCAAATCAAATTGAGCGGCCCTGAATCTCCGAACAGTCTCGATGCTCTTGAGTAAATTCTCCATGGCAGTGTTGTCGTAGAGTTTAGCACCGTGACCGGGGGCCCCTGTAGCTTTCAATACAAGCCACCATGGGCACCTCTCTCCGTAGAACAGCCTGTAATTTTCAGTGGGAGAAGCCAATCCCTCGTCCAGCACAACACCAACATTCATACTCTTGAAAGTGTCTGAACCGGCAAACTTCTCAGCGCCGTCGTGCCCGCCGATTTCCTCGTCGGGGACAAAGGAGAGGTAGACAGTGCGGAGGGGGCGGAAGCCGGAAGACTGGAGGTTGCGAATGGCCTCGAGATACTGAAGGCCGACGCATTTCATGTCTTGAGAGCCACGGGCGTAGATGTGGCCGGAGGAGGGATCGAGGTGGGCATCGAAAGGGGGGTGGTCCCACTTGTGGAACTCAGCAGGCACGACGTCGGTGTGGGAATTGAGGAGGATAGATGGGAGAGAAGGGTTCTCGCCGGCCCACTTGAGGAGAACAAGTGGCTTGCCCTTTACAAACTCCAAAATTTGGGAGTCCAATGAGAGGGACTTGGCTTCGGAGGTGATGAAATCGGCTGCTTCGTTGTAGCTGGGGTTTGGGTGAGCAGTATTGATTCTCAGGTATTCCTGGAATCTAGATATAATTGACCTAGAATTCGAATTCTCATCTTCCACCGCAACTATCGCCGCCGGTGACAGTAATAGTACGACTATTGCTACTGCCATAAGTGCAGCAGAAAGATGATGATGATGATGGGATTGAAGCCATTGATATACTCTCATCATTTTCAAACAGAGATAAATCGCCGATCGAGTATGTAATTCCCAAAATAATATCGTTCGTTTGCTACTGTAAGTGAAAAGTGGTGGTGAGAGAGATCGGAGAGGGGCGGCGTGATCAGTCGACTGATGACTGTGTTTTATTTTGCCCTTAGTTTTTTATCACGTTTATTTTCTTCAAATAATCCCCAATTTTCTTCTAATATACGCCACTCAATTTAGGCATAGACTCTAGCCACCTACAAAATTATCAAAAAAGAAAAAAAAAATTATATATAGCCACCTACAAAATGTACAATTTAAGTTATATTTAAAAAATGTTATTATTGAATTTGAATACTGCAATATTAAAGAGTGTATTCTTTTTTATGCTGTTACAATTCAAATTGCGTATTTAATTTTAAATTATTGGGTTTTTGTACTTTGCACCCTTAAATTACACACTTTTGGCACTTTGCACCCTTAAATTGCAAAATTAGCAGATTGCACCCTTGAAACATAAATTGTTGGGCACTTTGCACCCCAAATCACTTTTGGCATAGAAAACTTACCTGCAACTTGTCGGAAACCTGGAAGATGGGCAAATTCATAATTTTCTTATTATCTATCCTCTTCCCTCAATTCTTATTCACCGTTTGACCATTTTTATCTTTCGTCCCTTCAATCAAAAAATCCTAAAATCTTTTTAGCTTTTTTTTTCAATGGTAAAATCGGTATAAACACTAAACAATAAAGTAAATCACTTTTTTTTTTCTTTTGAGTATGAAAAATAATGTAACTGAAAATTTTAGGCCGAGTCCTCAATTTTTTTTTTTTTTTGAATAGTCAAATGACAAAATAAAGCTACTGAGAAGTTTATTTGGTGGTAGAAGGTGGGTGCCTATTAGTTTTATGATGGGAAGATTTTCGTGCTCCCATTGAATAGTTTGAATCTGCAAAATTATAAAAAAATAAAAATAAATTGTGTTATCATGGAATAAAACTTGATTTTCTGAAGGTGTGTTATCGGACTCTTGTCTATATATTCCGGTCATTCTTGAGTTTTAGTTCAGAATTTACATATTATGGCAAATAGAAACGACTAAGAAGAATTTAGAATTTTTTGATTAATATGATGAAATATAAAAATGGTGGAACAATGATTAAGATTTGGGGGAAGATGATAGATAATTAGAGAATTGCAAATTTGCCCATCTTTCAGGTTTTCTACAAGTTGCAGGTAATTTTTCTAAGCCAAAAGTGATTTGTTGTGCAAATTGCCAAACAAATTATGTTCAAAGGGTGCAATCTGCCAATTTTGTAATTTAAGGGTGCAAAGTGCCAAAATGGTGTAATTCAAGGGTGCAAAGTGCCAAAAACCCTAAATTATTTCTTAAAACAGATTTCCAAAATATAATTTGATCCTACAGTAAATGTAATTTCCAAAAAATGTAATCAATGAAATAAATAAAATAAAAATATTTAGATTTCATTTCCTGTTGACCGGTTAGCAAAGAAAGAAAAATAAATTGATTCGAGCAAGGAATAGAGAAGAAAGAAGGTAAGAAAAGGCGGATCCGAACCCCGATTATCGCATGTATCGATCCGCACTGTCACAGATGCTGATGCAGCTTATACACCATTTGAAAATTTCTTCTTCTTCTTCTTCTTCTTCTTCTTTGTTTTGCTTATTATAATTGAGGCCGTATGTTATTCCACATCGCCGGCGAGGAATTGATTCGCCAGGCAGCTAGGTAGCGCTGAATGTAAGGTGGAGCGATGTCTGCGTCGCAAACCCTAGGTGGTGCGTCCCGGTGTGGGTGGGTGCTTGGTCCTTCATTGGACAAGATCATCAAGAATGTGGCATGGAGGAAACATTCTCAACTCGTATCTACCTGTAAATCTGTCCTAGACAAGCTCGACTCTCTGTCCGATGATCCCTCCGATCCCACCTCATGCTCCCCGCTCTACGGCCTATCTTCTTCCGATGCTGATTTTCTGCTTCAGCCTCTCATCATGGCCCTTGAGTCGGCCTACCCCAAGGTTCTCGAGCCTGCTCTCGATTGCGCCTTCCGACTTTTTTCCTTCGGTCTCATCCGTGGCTGCGAAATCAATGATAATAATAATAATAATAATAATAATTCCTCGATTATTTTCCGTCTCATTGACTCCGTCTGCAAATGTGCTTCCCTAGATGATGAGTCCATTGAGCTTGCCGTGCTCAAGGTCCTGCTATCTGCTGTCCGATCCCCGTGCATCTATATCCGCGGTGATTGCCTTGTATATGTCGTTAGGTCCTGCTACAATGTGTACCTAGGTGGTCATAGTGGCACCAACCAGATCTGTGCCAAGGCTGTTCTTGCTCAGATGATGATTATTGTTTTCACCAGGGTCGAACATAACTCAATGCTAGTTGATTTCAAGACTGTCTCTGTATTCGAATTGCTGGAGTTTGCTGATAGGAATCTTAACGAAGGAAGTTCTATACAGTTTGCCCAGAACTTCATCAGTGAAATTGTCGAGGCCAAGGATAACCCTCCTAATGTAAAGTTGTCCTTGGATCTGCAAGAAAAAGCCGGTGGTGGTGAAGAGTATGGTAAATCTGCTGAGGAGGCTGCCGCCGAACTGGACGGGTACAGTAAGATTAGAGAGGATGGTTTTATGCTCTACAAGAATTTATGCAAATTATCTATGAAATTTTCGTCACAGGAGAATCCCGATGATCAGATCCTTTTGAGAGGAAAAATTCTCTCTCTAGAGCTTTTGAACGTCATCACTGGCAATGCAGGTCCAATCTGGTGTACCAATGAGAGGCAAGTGCTAACTTGTACAAAGTTTCTTATTCTCTAGATACCTGCTATTGAATATTTAATTAAGTCGAATGTCTTGAATAACCACTATTAACCATGTTAAACCGGAATTGCCTGCAAAAAAGGAGAACTTCTAGTAGTTTCAAATACAATAGATCAATATAAGACTAATGCTTCTGTGAAGAGGAT